CTATTACACCTTCAAAAAGTGTGGGGAGACATTTTAAGCAAAGTTAATAATGGACATAAAATGTAAATTCACTGTTTGCTTAAATGTACTAGGCTATTGCTTTTTAAAAAGCAGTGATTTGGTGCAAGAGACAAGAGTTTAAACAGCACTGTCAAGGCTACCGTGTCTGAAATAGTTCAATCTAACATCTGAAGCAGGGACAAGTAACACATCTCTTTAAAAAAAAAGTATACCGACAACTCTCCCTCGCCGAAAGAAAACACAAGTCGTTGTAAGCTGGCACAATCTTTTTTTTCTCTTCATCAATATAAAACTGAAATAGTTATTTAGTTCTTCTTAAACCACATGCTAACACATCAAAACAGCCGTCTAGCTGTGTCCATGAAATTACATTCTACATCGATGGATATTTCTTTTATCAAATCAAATAGAAAAATGAAGGGATTTATTATTTGAATGTAAATGTTCATTGAACAAGACACAGGCATACGTCACAATCAACTACAGGTTACATACTGATCGAGGGTTGAGTCCAAACAGACAATCTGATTGAAGTGTAATAACCATCTGTTATTAACATGTTATTCACACGTTATGACCTGTTATTCACACGTTATGACCTGTTATTCACATGCTATGATCTGGTTTAACTTGAACTGACTTAAGGAATGCTAGATCCTTGTTGTGAAATTCTAGCCTGGTACCAGATCTGTTTGAACCGTCTTGCCATGGTCTCCTATGGTGGTTTAAGTTACCACAAACAGATCTGGGACCAGGCTAGTGAATTGTCCTATCCACCCACTGCTTTCCTTTGACCTCAGTTTAGTTTTATTGGGATTAAAATATTATTATTTTAATCAAAAAGGCCACATCTGTCCCATAATATACTGTACTGTACATGCATGCCATGTAAATCTCCAAAGCAAGGCACTATCCCAGGCCATCAGTGTTGTTCCTATGGAGACAGACATTCATTGCTTTCCTCTAGTCCACACTAATCACAATGACAGAATTTCAGGACATACGTGACCTATGTAATAACATACGTGACCCATGTAATAACATACGTGACCCATGTAATAACATACGTGACCCATGTAATAACATACGTGACCCATGTAATAACATACGTGACCCATGTAATAACATACGTGACCCATGTAATAACATACGTGACCTATGTAATAACATACGTGACCCATGTAATAACATACGTGACCCATGTAATAACATACGTGACCCATGTAATAACATACGTGACCCATGTAATAACATACGTGACCCATGTAATAACATACGTGACCCATGTAATAACATACGTGACCTATGTAATAACATACATGACCCATGTAATAACATACGTGACCTATGTAATAACATACGTGACCCATGTAATAACATACGTGACCCATGTAATAACATACGTGACCTATGTAATAACATACGTTTTTTTCATCCTACTTTTGATATTTTGACTAATTTCTGCTTCACTAGAGCAAATGGCAAACGGAACACGCATATTTTACCTTCAAACTGTTGTCTAACTGACTGACCCCCCCCCCCCCCCCGCATCCTCCTCTAGCTCCCACCTCCAGGTTTCTGGACCAGGGGAGACGTATCACTGAAGACTGAGTCAGACCCTGGTACCGTTGAATCCCTTTTCACACTACTGAGCCCAGCTGAGCCAAAACAGAGCTGAGCCAAGCGGCACTGCACTGACCTAGTTACACATCCACCATACCATTGTTGCTGGATCTGTGGTGAAAATAACCATATCAGAGCCAGCAACAGTACAGCTTTAGTTGTATGAAAAGGGCATTGGAATAAACTAAGAGCTACTAGCGATAATCTGGAGAGAGAGAGAGAGAGAGAGAGAGAGTAGAGAGAGAGAGAGGTACTTGGGGTCACTGGGGGGTCACTCAGGGGGGAAATATGTGACAATTTGTACCGGAACGTCCAGCTGTAACAATGCAGACGGTGTGATCATGTCAGGTTTCAGATCAGCTGTTGTGAATTTGAAGCCATTACATAGCCCTTTGTGAAAGATGATCATCAGTTATACCCCTCCCTAGTAACTAGGGGAAGGGAAGAGGGGAATATGGAGGAGAGAAATGGGCCACATCCTAACTATTGTCTACAAGCCTGGTAGAGATAGGACATATTCTCAATACAAGGTGGAGACAGGGTTGTTCATCTCTGGTAGAGATAGGACATATTCTCAATACAAGGTGGAGACAGGGTTGTTCATCTCTGGTAGAGATAGGACATATTCTCAATACAAGGTGGAGACAGGGTTGTTCATCTCTGGTAGAGATAGGACATATTCTCAATACAAGGTGGAGACGGGTCTGAATCTCAGGTACATATAGGACATATTCTCAATACGAGGTGGAGACCGGAGTCATCCGATCTAGAAGGAAAAAATTATAGCGCAGATAAAAAGTGTTTTCTGTGATTTCTGGTGTTGTGCCAAAAACTGATTACTACCGTTTAAGCAAACTACCGTAACAGGTCTGCTCTACACAACTGCCACATACTGTCAGATGTCCTGACCGAGTATTGCAGGTTTTAACATATTGGTGCATCAAAGTAATAAGAATATACGATCATATTATATTATATTACACTTTAAAAAGTCACTAACAAATAGATCTCTCGTGCAAGGACACGTTTTTAGAAACAATGTTTTTTCTAGACGGGGTCGTTACATTGATGGAAGTTCTTGTGCAAGAGTGATTGAGCGTAGGCTAGAATTCATTTAAACATTTGTTCTTATGCCAGAAGAAAAATGTAATTAGTGAGACATTGTTCACAGGGTGAAACAAAAAAACAGATTTAATTCTGGTTGTAATCATATGTTGTGTTTTCCGCAGGGATGCCGGTTTCCGCTCACTGCAGATTTGATTGAACTCCAAATCATACATGTTCAATCTGACGACTATGTCACCGGCAACACTGGTGACTATGGACAAGAGTAGGTTCAAGCTTCCAAAACTATTTTTTTTGCCATATCTTTTGACTTCCCACCTGTGAGTTTAAACTAAAGGAAACCAACAAGCCTAACACACTAAGTTTCATGAAGTCACGGATAAATAGGCCTGTCGCATGCAGAAAGAGGAGTATGTGATGATATTCAACATAAGTCCTACGTCAAAACTGGATACAGAAATGTTCCTGGTCAAAATATTACATCTTCTAATTTAAAATAATTCTTAAAACAGAACTATATAAATTCATGACAATTTTTTTTTCTTCAACACAACAGACAGAAAAACAACTTCCTTCAGTGGGGTTGGGTTATTTATGTCTTAGGGAAATAATTGTTTTAAAAAAAATCAGAAAACTTCTGATAGGTATTGACAAAATACAGGACTGAGGTCAAGAAATCTATAGAGTATCCATAATAATGGGTCCTGTTGTGCTTTTAGCTTCCGATCCGACTGTGGGGAAACGTTTCAATTTAGGAGTGATTGGGTAAAAATGTCCATTTACTGACGAATTCATGTTACTAGGAAGAAAATACAGGTTTAATTATTATTATCCTATTATTTATTTTCGTACATTTGTAAGACTACAGCTTTCCAAAACATCAGTAGAATTTGAATTCTAAAGCCTTGAAATAAAATTCTACCTCTTTTCAGTAGGTCATCAAGCTGCTGGCAGCACCTAGTCACTAAGTCTTTAATTCTCTTGTATGTGTAAATGTACTTGGGTGAATAAAGTGATTGTGATCCACCAACACATCACTGGTGTACCTAGGCGTCTCTAAAACCCTGGGGTTTCATCACCTCAACCATCAGATAGGAAGTTATCTGCCTGCATCAAGAAGATTTCAGTTTCAAAGCTTCATCTGCGTCCCAAATGCCACCCTCTTTCCTACGTAGTGCACTACTTTTGAGGGTCCATAGGGGGCTCCGGTCAAAAGCAGTGCACTATACAGGGAATAGGGGTGCCATTTGGAACGCAAGCTCAGAATAATTGGAGAAGGTCTATACTCAGGCCTGTTGGTTGCTGTCTGGGCCACATCAACATCCTAACTTCATCATCATCATCATCATCATCTCTCTGGTCTCTGTGTGAAGTCAAACTACAACCTGCTTGGGGAGACTAGTGTGCACCCTATTCCCTCTGTGGTGCACTACTTGCCTCTCCCTACGTAGGGAATAGGGTTTCAGACGGAGACCAAGGTCTAAGGAGTGAGAAAGAGATGATCCACACCACAGACACACTGAAGACTTGGCATCCACATTATATAGGCCAACGAGGAAAACATGTCACCTAAATTAATATGCTGACTGTGGAGGAAGGACTGGAAACCCATATGCATCCCAAATGGCACCCTATATAGTGCACTACTTTTAGAGCACTACTTTTGACCAGGACCCATAAGGCCTATAGGGAATAGGGTACCATTTGGGACACAGACCGAGCTTAGGTGGACTGGACGCTGAGCACACTGCAGTGAACAGAGGACGCTACAACAGAGGAAGCAGTGGCAGCTTGTATGACATGGAGCATTGCACAACAACACTGGCAAGCCCAACTCTGAGGAACCTACAGACAGGGCACACGCCTTTTGGCATTTTGGCAAATCCAACCCTTTTTCAGTCCCATTTTCGTAAAAGGTATCTTAAAACCACAGTGAAGAACTGAAATGATTGTGAGGTTTATGAGTCATCATCGTGGTTTCCATCTGATGATGGAACCGGAAGAGTAGGTCCTCCACTTCCTGTGAGCTTTGAGCAAAGGCTCCTGGGTCGGGGTGGATGGGTCGGGGTGGATGACAACAGGTTTAAAGCAGAAAACAAGACAATGACCAAACAGAGAAAAAAAACGTTCATTTATCAGGAAGCAATCTGTTGTGGGTTGTCCTTTAAGCTGCACTACCTGTCAATAACCAGATAAACAGCCCAACCCACAGAAAGAAGATCAACCAACAGCTGCCTTGTGTTCATCTGTACACGTCCTTTTGTCGTTTTCTTCTAAAACCCACGGCTCCACTACACGGCTCCTCTCTCCTTAGAGACAGGGGTCCTGCCATACAGTGTCCGAGACTCCACCGTCTCCTCCCGGCTGGGTCTGGGTACTGGGGAGACGGTCTCCTCTCTGCTGGGCCTCGGTACGGCTGAGGACGGTACAACGTCTCTCAAATCCCTCCCTACCACTGTCCCCGCTGCCTCGTCCGCTCGATGCTTGTTGCTTCTGGTGTCACTCGTTCCCGCTACTACCACCGCAGCAGAGCTGTCCTGTCTGACCTCCCTGACCTCTCCTCTGGCCGTGGTGCTGGCCCGGCAGGGCCCCCTAGGGGTGCTCAGGTCCTGGGGCTTGTTCTGCTGGAGGGCCCCTGGCCCCACCGAGGCCCTGGCCGTATGGGAGACCAGGCCCATAGTCAGGCCGGGGAAGTGGTGGTGAGGGGGCCGCTGGGAGGGTGGAGGAGGAGGATTCTCCCCTACAGAGGAGTGTGTGTGGTGGTGGTGGTGGTGGCGATGGTGGTGGTGAGCGTGTTTGTGTGGCGTGCGCTCTTTTCTCTTGTGGCTGTGGCTCTTTGGGGTAGTGATGCTACTGCTGCCTCCGCTGGCACCACTGTCCCCTGTGGTAACTGTCAGGGGACATTCCTTGTGCTTCCTCCCTGGACTCTTTGGCAGCTTCTGTCCCTGCTCTGTTCCTTCTGTTGCCACCACAGCCACAGCACTCCCTGTCCCTGTCCCCGTCCCACCACCCCACTCCCTGTCCCCGTCCCACCACCCCCACTCCCTGTCCCCGTCCCACCACCCCACTCCCCGTCCCACCACCACTCCCAGTTCCTGCCCCACCACCAATCCCTGTCCCCGTCCCAGTTCCTGCCCCACCACCCCCACTCCCTGTCCCCGTCCCTGTCCCCCCCACCACTCCCCGTCCCCATCACAGTTCCTGCCCCACCACTCCCTGTCCCCAGCTGTGGCGTGGTGATGGTTGGAGTCTCCTTAGTCTCCTCAACAGTTTCTCTGGTCTTGCGTTTCTTGATGGGCAGAGCGGTCTGCTGCACCGGCTTAGTGGAAGACTCCTTCTGAGCTTTCCTCTTGGCTTCTGCTGCGAGGATAGCAGCCACAGCGTAGGAGGAAGCACTGGAACCCGCAGACCCGGCCGCTGCTGACACCGCTGACCCCGACCCTGGCTTACACCCCCGCTTTTTAGGAGAAGTCTGCGGTGGTATCTCCGCTTTCCTTTTCCGTCCCCGGCGCTTCTTGGTGACTACGACCGGCACCGATGTCTGCCCCGCTGCCTCGGATGCCTTGGACGCTCCGAACGGCATCTTAACCAGGAGCTTCCCAGGACTCCTCTCCACCACGCGCTTCATCGCCACGCCATCCGTGGCCGGACGCAGCTTCCCGCTCCCCTTTGGCCGGCCCCGGCCCCTCCCCGACGGTTTCACCACCTTGGGTTTCTTCGGGGGTCTCTTCTCGCGGCGGGAGGGGCTGCCACGCCCGGTCACGGTGAAGTCGAAGTCGTTGGGGTCGGTGGAGGTGTCCCCTACCTTCTGGAAGAAGGTGATCAGCTCCACCTTGGAACGGAAGGCTTTCCCCTCGGGGCTGAAATACAGATCACACCAAACATTCTAACTGTAAAACGGATCTGTTAATGTCCTTTCTGTAAACGCTGGAAGTCTGGAATATTTGTGTGTACATGAAGGAGATTAAATATTCATCCCTCTGGAGATCGACTGAAGGGACTGTCCTTGGAATAAAAAGTGGGTCTGGGCGAGTAGGAACTAAGATTATCCACATACATACATACAGTTGACGTCGGATGTTTACATACACCTTAGCCAAATACATTTAAACTCATTTTTTCAGAATTCCTGATATTTAATCCTAATAAAAATTCCCTGTCTTAGGTCATTTAGGATCACCACTTTATTTTAAGAATGTGAAATGTCAGAATAATAGTAGAGAGAATTATTTATTTCAGCTTTTATTTATTTCATCACATTCCCAGTGGGTCAGAAGTTTACATACGCTCAATTAGTATTTGGTAGCATTGCCTTTAAATTGTTTAACTTGGGTCAAACGTTTCGGGTAGCCTTCCACAAGCTTTCCACAATAAGTTGGGTGAATTTTGGCCCATTCCTCCTGACAGAGCTGGTGTAACTGAGTCAGGTTTGTAGGCCTCCTTGCTCGCACACGCCTTTTCAGTTCTGCCCACAAATGTTCTATAGGATTGAGGTCAGGGCTTTGTGATGGCCACTCCAATACCTTGACTTTGATTTCCTTAAGCCATTTTGCCACAACTCTGGAAGTATGCTTGGGGGTCATTGTCCATTTGGAAGACCCATTTGTGACCAAGCTTTAACTTCCTGACTGATGTCTTGAGATGTTGCTTCAATATATCCACATACATTTCCTTCCTCATAATGCCATCTATTTTGTGCACCAGTTCCTCCTGCAGCAAAGCACCCCCACAGCATGATGCTGCCACCCCCGCGCTTCACGGTTGGGATGGTGTTCTTCGGCTTGCAAGCAACCCCCTTTTTCCTCCAAACATAACGATGGTCATTATGGCCAAACAGTTATATTTTTGTTTAATCAGACCAGAGGACATTTCTCCAAAAAGTACGATCTTTGTCCCCATGTGCAGTTGCAAACCGTAGTCTGGCTTTTTTATGGCAGTTTTGGAGCAGTGGCTTGATCCTTGCTCAGCAGCCTTTCAGGTTATGTCGATATAGTACTCGTTTTACTGTGGATATAGATACTTTTATACCTGTTTCCTCCAGCATCTTCACAAGGTCCTTTGCTGTTGTTCTGGGATTGATTTGCACTTTTCGCACCAAAGTACGTTCATCTCTAGGAGACAGAACGCGTCTCCTTCCTGAGCGGTATGACGGCTGCGTGGTCCCATGGTGTTTATACTTGCGTACTATTGTTTGTACAGATGAACGTGGTACCTTCAGGCATTTGGAAATTGCTCCCAAGGATGAACCAGATTTGCGGAGGTCTACAATATTTTTTCTGAGGTCTTGGCTGATTTCTTTTGATTTTCCCATGATGTCAAGCAAAGAGGCACTGAGTTTGAAGGTAGGCCTTGAAATACAGCCACAAGGTACACCTCCAATTGACTCAAATGATGTCAATTAGCCTATCAGAAGCTTCTAAAGCCATGACATCAGTTTCTGGAATTTTCCAAGCTGTTTAAAAGGCACAGTCAACTTAGTGTATGTAAACTTCTGACCCACTGGAATTGTGATACAGTGAATTATAAGTGAAATAATCTCTCTGTAAACAATTGTTGGAAAAATTACTTGTGTCATGCACAAAGTAGATGTCCTAACCGACTTGCCAAAACTATAGTTTGTTAACAAGAAATTTGTGGAGTGGTTGAAAAACAAGTTTTAATGACTCCAACCTAAGTGTATGTAAACTTCCGACTTCAACTGTATACACACATTACACACACATACAGTATTTCCATCAACCTCAAAACAGTCCTGTGAAACACTCTTTATACAGTTCAGTCACATTACAATATCAAAAGGGGGACAGACAATATTTTGTTAGCTACTTCCAGGGAAGGATTTCATATCACATCTAAAGGAGATCAAGCTGTAACATATTGAATATTATCATATGACATCATTTCAGATATGCTTTTGAGAGACAATACTTGATATGGCTCCCTCTCTCTCTCTCTCAAAGCCTACTCACTTCATCAAGTAGACGTCAAACTTGCCGGCGGACCGTCCAGACTTGCGTTGTTTGAGTTTACGTGTCCAGCCCTGGGGCAGAGAGGGGTCGTCGTAGAGCGGACCGCGGTCTCTGATGATGGACCTCCTCTGTTTGGGCGAAGGAGAGGACTCGGAGAGACCCGAGGCTTCACCGGCTGCAACGACCGCGGGCTCAGAGGGCCCCGCCTCAGCCTCGGCCAGCTGGGGCTGGTCCTGGTCCACACAGGGCTGCTGGGCTGGAGGATGAGGAGGGGAGGACATGGTGGTGGTGGATGAAGACTCCAGCCTCTCCTTCTCCACATCCCTCCGCTCCCTCTCCCTCTCCCGCTCCTGCCTCACCTTCTTGGGCTTGTTGCTGTGTGTCTTAAGGTCCTTGTCCTTGGAGCTCTGATTCTGGTTGGCGTCCTCGCTCTTCTCCTCACTGCTGTGGAAGACTACATTAGTCATGAGTGGGAAGAGGCAGAGCAGAGGCATGGTCTCACCTTAGGCTAAATCATCAGATCACAATATGGAGAATGGCTATCCTTGGCCGATAAGACTACAAAACGTTTTAAACAACGAGTTCCAGATAAGTTCTGAACCTCAGCTTGCTCCCTCCCAACCTACATTAATTCACAAAAGGTGTCGTAAAAACACATCACTTTGGTGGGATTTTTTGTTGTTGTTGTGGTGGTGTTTCTTCCCATAGTGAAAAATATATGCCATCTAACTGTAAGTCGCTCTGGATAAGAGCGTCTGCTAAATGACTAAAATGTAAATGTAAATGTAATTATTGGAAGTTTTGGAAAATGCGCCAGGATTGGACTGATAAATCTACTGACCGAGGAACTAGTCTAAACACCAAGCCCTATAGCAGGCATGTAGAATGATGCAGCCAGCGAGAGAAGCCACTGGGGCAAGAGATATGTATGGTTAAAATATTATGAACCGCACATGGTCCACACAAGGCATCTCACAGCTTATCATCATCATGATCTACACAGAAACACTGTTAGATGCATCCTAACTCACTTATTGAAATGCATATAAAGAATATTTATCATACATTTTTGGATTAAATTGTCCCATTTGGAATATTTCATTACCAGATGTCAGTGTGGGAAGAAAAAAATATATAGGGCGGTATTTTGACGGTATATCACTGTACTTTTCTACCACCGCACTCAGGTCCTTCATGCAATAAAAATAACTTTGATTGCTTCATAACATTAGTATTTGTTATTCTAGAAAAATGGGCCAACTCATGTCAGCTAGCTCTAGCGTTTAGCTAGATGATACCAGTCGTCACAAACAGCAAGCTAGCTAGCTAGGCTATTTTCTCTGTAGAAAAATGCAACATCATAACAACGCAGCAATGATGTGGCTACTTTGTGGCAACATTACCATGTCAAATGGTAACATATGTAACCAGCTGACGCTACAATGTATCCAGCTATTTAGCCAGCCCGTTAGCAGCATGCCAAATTGGTTATGAGGGTGGAGGATGCGGACAAATCTCTTTTGACAGTTAATATCTAACAAATCTACTGCTGTTTTCAGAGGTCAGAAAATGACACACCCACCCACCCCCATACGTTAGCTAGCGGAGCATTTCCACGCTCAGCCATGATCTTGTAAAGTAAGGGAAATACTTAGCTATAACTTGGTGACGTATTCAGAAAGCTTCTTTCAGTAAGCTACCCTGCTGACCAGTTCATAACAGAAATACACCACGTTACTTTAGTTAAATACACCAATACATTTTAAAAGACCTGCAGTCATATAACTCGACATTTAAATGGTGAATACACGTAATTCACACTTACAGTCTCTCCTCTCCGCTCTCTACGGCGGCCATTTTTATTTAAATAAATAATTTTATAAAAATGTCTCCAAACATCTCATGGGTACCTCTCTCACTCCCGCCCCCTGCCTCAATTCCACTGCCGTCAGTCGTGTACTCACGCGAGATCCAGGGAACAGTTTCATAAGACCAATTGCATGAGCACTTGGATCTCGCGCGAGAAGTTGTCTTACGCTGTAAATATGTAAATGATTGTGAACTCTGAGATGAGGCTACTATCTCCATCTGCAGAAAATACACATGACACACATAATAGCACAGCAAGGCTGGATGTACAGGCAGAAGCAGGCTATGCACTGGAGTAACATTTCGGATTTTCTGGGTGGTGAAACTGAACAGAAAATCCCCACTATAGCTTTCCTTGACAATCTGTCTCCCATTCAACTGATGAATAACTGGAAAATAGTTCAATAGAAATGTTATCGCTGCTCTGCACTGATTGTAGTCCCAAACCCCGATGATTTACAAATTATCAGTCTTGTACGTCTCAACTCACCAATTACCCATTGATTACCTTGTGGCCTTAATTGGACTAGTTCATTGTTTGCCCCTTTAATGACCTCTGCTACAGGTGACATCATCAACCTGACAGCCAACCCTGGTCTTGGAACGCCTCAGGCGCTTTGACTGCCTCGGGCTAAGTTAATAGTTCTAACCATATGGTTTATGCTTTTTTAATATATGGTTCTAACAATGAACTTAAGTCTTCAGACGCTTTAGGGAAAGCGGGCGCAGGTGTGTTGAATTTAGGCAATCGCTGAACTGATTCATCAGCTCAGTCTATTTGGATGCTGCGCTCCAGGAACAAAGTTGCGTTCGTCATTTGCTTGCTTCTTTTCCTGTCTGATGTCCTTAATGGTTTCCTACCATAACATTTGATTGCTGACTGTTTAGGTGGCCTTTAAAAAAAAAAATCTTTATTATTTTTTGGGTCGGAAATGTGGACTTTGTGTCTTCTCTGCGTCTGTTTATTCCGGTTGTCGTACAGTGATGCAGAAACGGTTGCTAACGTCGCGGCTGAAGGCAGCGCGGAGCTGCAGAGGGTTCGGAACCTTGCCGCTCAACCGCGCTATGGTGAATGTTGGTCTACCGCGCTGGAGAAGATCGACGCGCGTTGCAGAGAATTCACAGTTGACATGCAGAGTAGGATTGCCCTACTTTTCACCCACTGTCACCTGCGCAAGTAAATAAACACTTTTTTTTTTTTTTTTTGCTTTATTAAATAATTGCTGACAGCTCTATGTTAGTGTAGCATGGTTAGACCTTTGGCCATTATCATGACTCAAATTGCATTGGCTGTAAAGCCCCCTTGTGTTCTCGAGTTACTGTAGGTAGACTTATTGAAATGTTTAGTAGGCCTGTAGAAATATTAGGCTACTGCAATAGCCTATTGAAATATTCTGTATCTTTTATCCTCCAGAAATTAGGTTAGACCGGTGGTATTTCATTATGGCACTGTGACTGAATAAGTAACAGGTTCCTTATGGCACTGTGACTGAATAAGTAACAGGTTCCTTATGGCACTGTGACTGAATAAGTAACAGGTTCCTTATGGCACTGTGACTGAATAAGTAACAGGTTCCTTATGGCACTGTGCCAGTGACTGAATAAGTAACAAATTCCTTATGGCACTGTGACTGAATAAGTAACAGGTTCCTAATGGCACTGTGACTGAATAAGTAACAGGTTCCTTATGGCACTGTGACTGAATAAGTAACAGGTTCCTTATGGCACTGTGACTGAATAACAGTAACGTTGTTATGTCTGTCAGATCTGGCCGTCCGTTCCCAGTATGTCCGGAGGGCAGCGAAGTCAGTAGCTGTACTAGAACTATGGACCCTGTTGCCTTCAACGCCTACACGGAGTTCTTCACCCATGCCCACAGCATCTGTCAACACCTGCAGAGCGAGAGCTGGCAACATCAGGCCGAGAACACCATCCACAGGTCCAGTACTGTGTGCACAACACCATCCACAGGTCCAGTACTGTGTGCTGAACACGGGTCCAGTACTGTGTGCTGAACACGGGTCCAGTACTGTGTGCTGAACACGGGTCCAGTACTGTGTGCTGAACACCTGAGAAGAATAAGGGTGGTAAACCTTCTTCCTGGAGGGCTACTGTGGAGGCTTTTTGCTCCGGCCCTGCTTCAGCTAATCAAGGGCCCGAGGAGCAGGAACATGGGTGGTCCTCTGGTCCTCTGGTCCCCTGGTCCCCTGGTCCCCTGGTCCTCTGGTCCTCTGGTCCCCTGGTCCCCTGGTCCTCTGGTCCTCTGGTCCCCTGGTCCTCTGGTCCTCTGTAGCTCAGCTGGTAGAGCACGGCGCTTGTAACGCCAGGGTAGTGGGTTCGATCCCCGGGACCACCCATACGTAAAAATGTATGCGCACATGACTGTAAGTCGCTTTGGATAAAAGCGTCTGCTAAATGGCTTTATTATTATTATTATTATAGGAGCAGAAGGGTTGGCTTCCTGCTGCATACAGTGTTGGTTCATGTATGGTTAAGAAATATGACCAATGGGAAGCAGGATTAAAACAGTTTTACCAGTGTTCACGATTCACCTCCATTAATTCAGTGGGTGTGTTAGTTTTGCTTCGCCAGGTGCCCCGGTTGGGCGCCGTTTGCACATTTTTACGTTCCATTGGTCGTAAGATGAAATCCCCGCTCCTCCGGCGGCACCAGGCTATGCAAAAACGAACTGGCTCCGTAGCTTTCCAGGAGGGTTGACGATCCATATTGTAGACGTTGTTTTGTTATTGGACAAGGGAAAGTAGTAAGTCCCTGTTTTTAACCAGTGTTTTCTTCTGTTTGGTGCCCTGCTGAATGTGGCGCTGGTGTCTAGGTTAACAGAGAGCTCAGCGGGGGTGGTGGAGCAGCTCTCCTCTACCCAGCGTATGGCTGAGAACCTTGTGGAGGCCCAGAGCGTCGCCCTCAAGTCACAGGAGACCATCCTACGCAACGGGGAGGAGCTCAAACACACTCTGCACCATTCTACCCAAGGTAGCTGCCGCCCTCGGGCCTCTGTTCTGTCAAAGTGACGCTTATCGCAAAACTAATTTTAGAAAATGTGCACCTCTTCCCAACTCTCCTCAGGCCTCAGAGCAGTGTTTGATGAGATGAGACTGTCAGCCCAGGGACAGCAGGTAGCGTTCTCAGAGATCTTCAACCGCGTTGCTTTCCTTCAGAGTTTCATCATGTCGGAGTCTCACACCCTCACCAGTCTACTCTACAACTCACTGGGGTTCCTCGCTTCCTTCTTCCTCACTGCAACACAGCGGACCGCTCCAGCCAGGTGTCCTTATGTTTTTATATTTCACCGTTACACAGGAACACCCTAAGGCAGGGTTCTTCAATTCCGGTCCTGGAGGGCCGAAACACTTCTGTTTTTTTATTTCTACCTGGTAGTTAATTGCACTCACCTGGTGTCCCAGGTCTGAATTAGCCCCTGATTAGAAGGAGAGGATGGAAAAACAGAGGTGTTTCGGCCCTCCGGGACCGGAACTGAAGAACCCTGCCCTAAGGGGTTAGAAGCAGTTTAGGGGTTAGTGCCATGCTCAAGGGCACAATGACGGGATACCTAGAATCCGACCAGATTTTTCCCATCTGACTTTGAATTTGTATTAAACCCTCCCATTGCAGGCCTGCCTCTCTAACATTTTAAGGTACCTGCCCGCCCCTTTGGAGTGGTTGGTGATCCGTGTACCGTTCTGGTGACTGTCCTCTTTGTCATGTCGTCTATCCAGGTTTGTTCTGTTTGGTCTGGTAGTGCTGAACGTGTACCTGGAGAGGATGCTCTGTAGAGTTGTGCTGGACTCCTCCGAACCAGGCTACCAGCAGATGGTGAGTAGCGCGTGTGTTAGTTAACATGCTTCGAGAGAACCTACGGGGAATCTAAAAAAGCATATGTGACAGCGTGGAAATTTCACCCAGGAAATCGGCGGCCACTTGTACATCTCAGGAGCGCTTGCACTTAGCCATCTGCTACACATAGAAAGGGGAAACTATGGCAACACATTGGACTAGAAAAGTCCTGATGGAAAACTTGTCTGCTACATTTACTGTTTTCACTCAACATTTTCAGAGCGCTGTCTGTTGACATACATCTGTCATGCCTCTTGATGCTGCTGTTCTAACCAGCGACGGCGTCTTAATCTTATGGTCTGGGTTTCCAGTCTTGACTTCATCCCTGTGTTTCTGTCCAGGAACAAATCAGCCTGTTGGTGGGCCTCCTCAGAAGAGCCATGGTCCTAGTGGGGCTGCTGGCTCTGGTCTACGTTGCCGTACGTTATCGTAACGTCGCCAAAGAGAGCTTGGAGATTCTCACCCAACTCAAAGAGACTCGTACAAGTCTTCAGCTGGCCCTGCAGAAAGCAGGTAGGTTGGGTATAGAGTTTAGTTTTAGCCTGGTCCCAGATCTGTTTTGTATGGTCTTGCCAACTTGTGCGTGACACTGACCATATGACTTGGCTATACAGGTAATAAACAGGGCTGGGACCAGGCTATCTGGTGTTCATGGTGCACAGACTGCGGACTTGGGAGGTGTAAATCTTGACTATCCAGACAGAGCAAAGTCTGGATCAATTTGATTTTCAAGTGAGTTTAGTCCAATCAAACTCTTACACTTTTTTTAAAAATTAATTCAGTCTAATTGTCTTCTATGAGGATTTATTGTTATTCATGCATACTGACTGTAACCCAACCCTCCCGGGGCCGTATTCACGAGGACTCAAACAGGATTCAACTGGGAGGTGACCTACATATATTGGTCCAATAAACGCGTGTTTTTGTTTTCCGTTATAAAAAGTTTTTTTTTGTTGCTACGGTGTGAACTAATGAATACGACCCCACTGTCCAGAGTGTCTCTCTAAGGCGGCAGACGGGAGGAGTGGAGCAAGAGGTCGAAGGTCAGAAGAACAATGCAGTACGAGGAAGGAGGAGATCAGGGAAGAAGAGCACAGCACTGTACTGCTGTATCCTACTGATCAGGGATCAGAGAAACCCTACATGTCTCACACCTATGATGGTGAGTAGAATTACACTCATAAAATAAAAAATACTATTTTTACATTCCTGTGTTCGTCAGAGACCTAACTCCTTAACACGAGGTCTGCAGGTATAAATCATAATTAACATACGTGTTCTGTTATCAACATAACGGATTTCTGTGAAAGTCTCTGAGATGCTCTGTCATCTCGCGCTAGGATTTGGCTCTGAATGTGGTATGGGCGAGGGACTATTGTGCAACATGGCCAGTTGTTTGTGTTGTGTTCAGGCAGGCAGTATGACACCAGTTACGGCACCCCTGGAGGACAGGAGACCTCGCCCCAGACCCAGAGCACCCTGCCCAGCCCCGCAAGACCTCAGCGTCGCTCTTCTGTCTCTAGACGCGCCCCGTCCTCCCCTTTGGTCTACAGTATATTGGTGGAAGATAAGAAGGTAGACTTGTTGATTTTAGGGTTGCGCAATTTCTGTAACTTTTTCATAAACTTCCCTGGTTTTCCAGAAATCCATGTCGGGATTCTTTTTTTCCCCCCCTGCTGATTCCCTCGTAATTCCAGGAATCTTCAAACCAAGATTTCTGGAGAACCTGGGAATTTTGGGAAAGTCACTGGAATTTTGGAACCCTACTTGTGGTCCTCTGTAGCTCAGCTGGTAGAGCACGGCACTTGTAACGCCAAGGGTAGTGGGTTCGATCCCCGGGACCACCCATACACAAAAATGTATGCACGCATGACTGTAAGTCGCTTTGGATAAAAGCGTCTGCTAAATGGCATATTATATTATTATTGTGATATTCCCTGTTCCTGGAGAGATGCTCTCCTGTAGGTTTAAACTCTAAACCTGTTCCTGGAGAGATGCTCTCCTGTAGGTTTAAACTCTATCAAATATTATCAAATTTAAACTTTTTTTTTTCTCCCCCTCTCCATGTTCATGGATGTTTTCAATGACCTTGCCCCCTGCAGACACATACAATCTGAGGAACCGGAGGTCTTCTGTGTCAAGGCTGGGGACAGACTGAGAGATGGACTGTAATGGGGCTGGGGACAGACTGAGAGATGGACTGTAATGGGTCTGGGGACAGACTGAGAGATGGACTGTAATGTGGGGACAGACTGAGAGATGGACTGTAATGGGGCTGGGGACAGACTGAGAGATGGACTGTAATGGGGCTGGGGACAGACTGAGAGATGGACTGTAATGGGGCTGGGGACAGACTGAGAGATGGACTGTATGGGGCTGGACAGACTGAGAGATGGACTGTAATGGGCTGGGGACAGACTGAGAGATGGACTGTAATGGGGCTGGGGACAGACTGAGAGATGGACTGTAATGGGGCTGGGGACAGACTGAGAGATGGACTGTAATGGGGCTGGGGACAGACAGAGAGATGGACTGAGATGATTCATGCTTGACCCTGAGAGTTGTTGAACTACGGTCAACCTGTCTGGTTCACAGCAGTGAAGCGGCTGAGAACACGATATGGGGCGAAATAATATTGGCCATTTTCTTGACCGTGAATAGTGCTGCTCTTCAGGAAGTAAAATGCAAAACTGTCTCTTAATCTTGTGTTTTAAATAAATGTAAGCTTTTAAATGTTTTGCTACGTGTGTGTGTGTATATATATATATGACTATCAAGCTCCAATAAAACAATTTTTAACCTTTCATCTGTGTGATGGCGGATTTGTCAATTTTCCAGTAAACCGTCTTCTCAGACTGATCTGTTTGTGTGAAATGGGTAGTCCAGCATAGGTGAAATAATCGAACGTTATGACAAAAGTATCAAACTTGTTACACAAATACTATATACTGAACAAAAATAAAAATGCAACACAATTTCAACGATTTTACTGAGTTTATATGAAATAAATTCATTAGGCCCTAATCTATGGATTTCACATGACTGGGAAGGGGCACAGCCATGGGTGGGCCTGAGAGGGCATAGGCCCACCCAATTAGAATGATACCCCCCCCCCCCCCCCCCCACAAAAGGGCTTTATTACAGACAGAAATACTCCTGTTTCATTGGCTGGTCTCCGACGATCCCGCAGGTGAAGAAGCTGGATGTGGAGGTCCTGGGCTTGCGTGGTTGCACGTGATCTGTGGTTGGGAGGCCGGTTGGACGGCCTGCAAAATTCTCTAAAACTACGTAGGTGGCTTATGGTAGAGAAGTGAACATTAAATTATCTGGCAACAGCTCTGGTGGACATTCCTGCAGTTAACATGCCAATTGCACGCTCCCTCAACTCGTGGCATTGTGTTGACAAAACTGCACATTTTTAGTGGCCTTTTATTGTCCCCAGCACAAGGTGCACCTGTGTAATGATCATGCTGTTTTAATCAGCTTCTTGATATGCCATACCTGTCAGGTGGATGGATTATCTTGGCAAAGGAGAAATGCTCACTAACATGCTGATTACACATTCGCCAGCACGTTGACTTTGTCCATCCACACCAGACGCGATCAGGACACGCAGGTAGAAATGTCAAAATATACTCTGAACCAGCTATATTAATTTGGGGACAGGTCGAAAACATTCACGGACTAGTTAATTTGTCTCGGGATACAAACATTTGGTTGTTATTTTACCTGAAATGCACAAGGTCCTTTTTTTCCCCCTGGATCTTTTGTGGAATTTTGACCCATTTTTCAGTTACACAAACTCGTGTTCTCTACTCTGACCATTAATCCAGAGATAAAAGGGGAAATTTAATTAGTTTCCAGTAATGTCTCCTCCAGTCTTCTTCTTCTGTGGACTTTATATGGAGGTTGGCAACCAACTGGACTGGAGTGTGGACCTCAGTTCAGCTTTCAATCACCCATGTCGGTCTATGCTCCTAAAAACCAATGAGGAGATGGGAGAGGTGGGACTTGCAGCGCATCAAGCGTCAAGAATAGAACCAAATTGTATTTTAGCGCCTGGATGAAATGATTGAATAACATGTATTGTGTACATTTAGTTTGTAATGTGAGCGGTGTGGTCAGCATGTTAAAGGGATGTGCACAAATCTGAGAGAAGTAAGCTTTTTGTGCATATGGAAAATGTTCTGGGATCTTTTATTTCAGCTCATGAAACATAGGGACCAACACTTTACATGTTGCGTTTATGTTTTTTGTTCAGTACACATCCCTTAAAAGCCTACGAGCAGAAATTCACTTTTTCAGCTGAAAGATGATAGCTTACCCATGATGCTGCACACCGATTTTACATCATACGTCATCGTTTTAGTCAAAGTATGATATAGTTGGGCGTGAAGTGGTAAATCCTTACTGCTAACTTAGATATTTTCGGTATCAATTGCGTGTGTTTCGTCTGAGATGACGTGCTAACACTTTTTCAGTCTACGTTTCTTTTACATTTTCGTCATTTAGCAGACGCTCTTATCCAGAGCGACTTAGCTACAGTTAGTGAATGCATACATGTTTTTTTTCATACTGGCCCCCCGTGGGAAACGAACCCACATCCCTGCCGGCTAAACCCTCCCCTATCTTGGACGACGCTGGACCAATTGTGCGCCGCCAATGGGTCTCCCGGTCGCGAACCAGGATCTCTAGTGGCACAGCTAGCACTGCGATGCAGTGCCTTAGACCACTGCGCCACTCGGGAGTCAGGGCTGGGTTTTATTTGAATCGTTACCACCCACCGGCATGGTATTGTTTATTAATCAGAAATACCTGCAACGTTCTTCCTGTTTGCGAGTCGTGAGTGAGCTGAGCCAAACAGCTTTCACCATAGTCTACCTGCCGCCAGAGCAAAATAACACATTCAAATAGGCGGGTGCAAACGTTTTTACACCTACTTTTTTTATCAGCAAATTATCATAATCCAGGGTATAATTTGAGCGAGTCTGCATTAAAAAATATATATATATATATGACAATTGTATGAATTGTAAAATTGTGTGATGTTTGCGTACCACTGTTGCCCAAAGAGGAATGGTTTTAACCGCTAAAGTTTTGGGAGAATTTGTGTTGCATGGCTCGGTGCCCTGGGTGAACGGGGTTTGATCATTTTCAACCATTCCATTGATCCTAGGGAGAAATGCCCATCCACCGGCAGCACCGAGCCATGCAAAACAAACTGGACTTCACATTGGCGTTTCGATGAGCTCAGGGTGTTGCATATAATTGGCATGAGCACAGGCTGTCTTGGCTTGCTGGACCGCAGCTGAATAGCCTGCCAGCAGCTTACCAAAGGTTGCGTCTCTAGTCCAAACCTTTTAATAGGCTATCCGTATTACATGTTATTATTATTATTATTATTATTATTATTATTATTATTATTATTATTATTATATACACTGCTCAAAAAAATAAAGGGAACACTAAAATAACACATCCTAGATCTGAATGAATGAAATAATCTTATTAAATACTTTTTTCTTTACATAGTTGAATGTGCTGAAAACAAAATCACACAAAAATTATCAATGGAAATCAAATGTATCAACCCATGGAGGTCTGGATTTGGAGTCACCCTCAAAATTAAAGTGGAAAACCACACTACAGGCTGATCCAACTTTGATGTAATGTCCTTAAAACAAGTCAAAATGAGGCTCAGTAGTGTGTGTGGCCTCCACACGCCTGTATGACCTCCCTACAACGCCTGGGCATGCTCCTGATGAGGTGGCGGATGGTCTCCTGAGGGATCTCCTCCCAGACCTGGACTAAAGCATCCGCCAACTCCTGGACAGTCTGTGGTGCAACGTGGCGTTGGTGGATGGAGCTAGACATGATGTCCCAGATGTGCTCAATTGGATTCAGGTCTGGGGAACGGGCGGGCCAGTCCATAGCATCAATGCCTTCCTCTTGCAGGAACTGCTGACACACTCCAGCCACATGAGGTCTAGCATTGTCTTGCATTAGGAGGAACCCAGGGCCAACCGCACCAGCATATGGTCTCACAAGTGGTCTGAGGATCTCATCTCAGTACCTAATGGCAGTCAGGCTACCTCTGGCGAGCACATGGAGGGCTGTGCGGCCCCCCAAAGAAATGCCACCCCACACCATGACTGACCCACCGCCAAACCGGTCATGCTGGAGGATGTTGCAGGCAGCAGAACGTTCTCCACGGCGTCTCCAGACTCTGTCACGTCTGTCACATGTGCTCAGTGTGAACCTGCTTTCATCTGTGAAGAGCACAGGGCGCCAGTGGCGAATTAGCCAATCTTGGTGTTCTCTGGCAAATGCCAAACGTCCTGCACGGTGTTGGGCTGTAAGCACAACCCCCACCTGTGGACGTCGGGCCCTCATACCACCCTCATGGAGTCTGTTTCAGACCGTTTGAGCAGACACATGCACATTTGTGGCCTGCTGGAGGTCATTTTGCAGGGCTCTGGCAGTGCTCCTACTGCTCCTCCTTGCACAAAGACGGAGGTAGCAGTCCTGCTGCTGGGTTGTTGCCCTCCTACGGCCTCCTCCACGTCTCCTGATGTACTGGCCTGTCTCCTGATAGCGCCTCCATGCTCTGGACACTACGCTGACAGACACAGCAAACCTTCTTGCCACAGCTCGCATTGATGTGCCATCCTGGATGAGCTGCACTACCTGAGCCACTTGTGTGGGTTGTAGACTCCGTCTCATGCTACCACTAGAGTGAAAGCACCGCCAGCATTCAAAAGTGACCAAAACATCAGCCAGGAATCATAGGAACTGAGAAGTGGTCTGTGATCACCACCTGCAAAACCAGTCCTTTATTGGGGGTGTCTTGCTAATTGCCTATAATTTCCACCTGTTGTCTATTCCATTTGCACAACAGCATGTGAAATGTATTGTCAATCAGTGTTGCTTCCTAAGTGGACAGTTTGATTTCACAGAAGTGTGATTGACTTGGAGTTGCATTGTGTTGTTTAAGTGTTCCCTTTATTTTTTTGAGCAGTGTATATTGATGAAGCATACCTGGGGGCGTTGTTCTTGGTGGATAATATATATTGATGAAGCATACCCGGGGGTGTTGTTCTTGGTGGATAATATATATTGAAGCATACCTGGGGGTGTTGTTCTTGGTAGATAATATATTAATTAATAATTATATATTGATGAAGCATACCTGGGGATGTTGTTCTTGGGGTCCTCACTGTTGTTAGCCAGTCCTCCGAACAGGAAGCATTTGTTCCCTACCAGGGAGAAGCTGTGTCCCAGGCGGGGACAGGGAGGAGGGCCGTTCTTAGGAGACTTGGGCTTCAGACGCTTCCACTCCCAGCGACTGGCCTGGGGAGAAAACGACGACTCACTAACAAGCTTAGTTGCGGCTACAGAGCTAAGATCTCTGAGTTGTTAATATGATGTGACTATAGAATGGGTTGTTAATATGATGTGGCTATAGAATGTGTATATATATATCCATATTACCGGAGCAATCTATTATTTCTATTTCTATGGCCGCAATTTCTGGAAGAGTAGCTGCTACCTAATAAATAACCTGTCACAGGGTTGACGTTTATCTCAATACATTAACGTTAAGATGAGTCAAATCAAAATGTTATTTTATTTGTCACATGCGCCGAATACAAGAGGTGTAGACCTTACCGTGAAATGCTTACTTACAAGCTCTTAACCAACAATGCAGTTTTAAGAAAATAGAGTTAAGAAAATATTTACTAAATAAACTAAA